AAACTGTTTTTAAGTCTTGTAGTCCGAGCAGACAGACTCCTGTAACGTCTGCCAGATGGTAATAAGGAGAAGAGCTTATGTGCTGGGTGGCTCTGGTCCTTGATGATGCTGTGTGCTTTATGGAGGCATCGCTGAAGATAAATGTCCTGAATGGCAGGAAGCCTCATGCCAGTGATGTGCTCTGCTGCCTTCGCTAACCTCTGTAGTGATTTACGGCTGCTGGCAGAGCAGCTTCCGTACCAAACTGTAATGCAGCGCGTCAGCAAGCTCTCAATTGCACACCTGTAGAAATTTGAGGTGATTTTGCCAACTTATTCGTCTCCAGGTTTGTATTATCAGCAACCCACAGATCAGAATCTGTTCAGTAGCAACAATCCCAGCATGAATATACCCTATATATAATTAATATATAGTTATTATGCTTTATAACGTAACTGGGTGACTACACAAACCAACATGAGCTCCTCCTCCACACAGGTCTTATCCAATAAACTGTGAAGAGGGCGTGGAGAAGTAATGTTTACTTCTGTCTTGTAAGAAGTGGGACAGATGCACGCTGCACCCGTGACACACTTGGATATAGAGACACACCAATGAGCCACTGCAACACAGTGAGCAGGAAGACTACTGCAAGGTAAGCACAGAATTCCTGCTGGGAATGACACAGTCCTGTTGCACTGCCTGTTATATATGTGTTAAGATAAAGGATCTGATCATATTTAACGGAACGATTCACGGCAAGCGTTATGAAGTAGACAGCATTCCTTCATGAGGAAATGGATCAGATTCAGGTACATGCGTACATTTTCAGTAGTTTTAAACGTGCCTTCATTATTGCTGTGGCAGTCCATTGGCACCATACCTGTCCTTACATAGACTGACAACGGAGCTGCTCTAACTCGGTGCTCCGGATGATGATGATGATGCATTTAGAGTAATGTAGGGTAAGGCCCAATTAAAATGAGACTAGCTCCAGACTAACTAATCTAAATTAATGGCACTCATCTCCTGCACCTGTTTGCAAAGCGGTAACCAGCTGTTCCCTGCAGGCATTAACCAAGAGAGTTAACAACTCAAGATGTGTAGTTTTTAGCAAATAAAGGCTCTGGTTATGGTTTGGGTCGTTAACTGTATGTTATTACAGGGTATAATAAGTCTGCTACTCATATTTCTTTGTAAACAAGGGTACATTTCAGAGAGGCAAACGCTGCCATTGAGGCATGTGATTGTGCATTTGGTAAACAGTTTGAATAAGATTAGATTCGATGTTTGAAAAAGCACACACAGTCTGGTGATGTTCTGGTTATTACATTTGTAATTACAGTGTTTTTAACGAGTAAAGCTAACTAATAATGAAAACAGTGTTGTTGACAGCTTCGTTTGTAATTGACTGCAGTCAGCTATTATTGTAGTCTCAATAGTGTGCGGGCATTTTATAGCTGTATACTGGCAGCCACTCCCTGAGCCTGTTTCTGCCAGAGTTTTCAGCCTGTTTTCCTCCTCACTGTTGCCAAGTTCTTGCTCAAAGGTGGTCATATGCTTGTTGGAATCTTTACGTTACAGCTTGAGACGACTACTGTTGTGATTTGGCGCCATATAAATAAAACTGAATTGAATTATTACTCTGTTAACAGCCAAAATCACATGATACAAATGATATAGGTTTCTTATTTTAGCTATAATTGCTGTTACTTATTACAATCAGTGGGTCAGGTGACCCTGGGAGTCCTGTGAAGCATGGGGGTCAGCTTTAAAAAGTCAAAGGCGTGCATGAAAACACATCCTGTTGCTAACTGTGGCATATGGGACAGATGGAAATAGAGAAGCTGACACACAAAGATCATTCGAGGTGACTAGAAAGGCTTCCTCACAGTAAATTGTGCAGCTTGTCTCTAACTGTAATATCATATATGGAAGTGAAAAATAAGGTCAGCAAACAAAACAGTTGAACTGACAGAGAGTAGTTTGGATTGACCTACTTTCAGTTGCCCTGCAGGTTTGTTAGAAACTGGTGAAATATGATAGCAGTGAGAGGTGGTTCAGACATGTTTTTGGGCCTGGGCCTTATTTTGCAGTTAAATTTAGATAAGTCAGTATGCTGCTTATTCCTAGACGACCGTCACCAGATGGGGAGGGGGGGCTTTATATTAACTAAAGTGTCATATAATTATATAGTGTAGTATTAAGTGGACACGGCCCTGAAAAATAAAGGCATTACACTACGTGTCCTTGGGGAGTGGAATGCTGTAGACTCTCGCTCACGCTTGCCTGGGAAAAAGTAGATAACAGGGGACCATCTTCTAGTGAAAAGTTGCTGAAACGCTGTTGTTTAGACTTGAATGAGAGAGCTGGTAATAAAACTGTTAGGGGCACACCACCATTTTGAGATCCGCGGCAATGTGTCATGCAGGAAGTATCTCTCTTCTAGAAGTATTGTGTAAGAGAATAAAAGTGTGAAATGATCGACTGAGCAGTGTGTTGTCTTCCATCGGATGCCTATGAGGAATCAAAAGAACTCGGTGAAGTGTTGATATTTAACAAGTACACGTGCAGTGCTAAGCAGGAGTTTAGCAGTGACTGCACTTGACATAAATAAGAAATACGTGGCCTCCTGTACTTGTGCCAGCTGGTCATCAGGTGCTGGGTTGGCTTTCCACAGAACTGCAATGCTAAGAAGAGGCAGAAACGGACGGGCTCGGCACTTGGCCTGGAGTCAAACCTGGCAAGAGACAGATGCCATGGCTGTGATCCAGTCATCAGACAGAGAGGAACAGGAGGGTCGGACAGTCGCACAGGTGAGACTTTGCTGTTTGTGTTTACTGGAATATAATTGAAACTGGGCTAAATGGAAAAGTGGTTTCACTGGAAATCAAGAACCGTATCCCTGCAATGTGAAACAGAATAGTTCTATTTAGAGTAAGTACAGCTAGTTTTTCCACTTGGACTGTTTACTTTCTGGAATAGCAGTGTGTGAAATGTGGTCATGACATGACAGCACGCCCAGTACTTTTAAAGAATCTTCTAAGTTTGCTTGCTTCTATGCATGACCTCACATCACCAGTGATACACAGTGTTCAAAAACAAAGCACACAAGTTCCCGTCTGGCTCTTTAGATCGCAAACTTCCCCCTTTTTTTCCATTCAGCCTTGGCAACCTATGTTGCTCTTTGGTAGCAATTTGTTGTGATCCTGATTCAGCTCTACTGCTGGAGCTCACTGCCCCCCTGGACTAGGGCCACGTCCGTGGACTTACAGGATCCTGTTTGTAATGTTTGCGTCAACCAGATCAGTGACTTGGAGCCTGAGGTGGATTACCGGGCCGGTTTCCAGACTGTCTCTGAGGTGGTGGCATTGCCAAGCACAGTACCAGTGAAACAGGAGTCTTTCTTCCACTGTGACCCAGAGGAAGAGCTCAGTCCGCTTCTTGGCGTCATCAGTGACTGTCTCTATGGGGAGGAGGACAAAGGTGAGCAGAAGCGGATGAAAGACCGCATAAAGATGCATGTAAACAATATTATAATTTAGGCATGTTGTAGAGTCTTTATATGCTTACGGCTGTCTGTCGGGGAATATTAACACTATATTCATTCATATTCCAACTTCTGTGCATTTTAAAGGTGTGATTAGTGCCACAACAAGCTTTCACTATCAGTGTAATGTTTAAGGTTCAGGATGGTCAGAAATCAATATCTTCATTTATTTCCTTTGCAAACTCATGAACAGAATAAGAAGGCTGAGAGTCACGTACACACTGATAGATCTAACACGCTCATGATAAGCAGCTGTAACATTTACCCATTAAGATGTTACCATCTGCAAATTATAGCGGTGCCATGAAGTTTAAAGCTATTTGATCACAGATCCCTCAAAACTGCATGATGAACAGCCTTAAAGTGGCGGTAGATGAAAAGCCAAGAAACGTCGGTGTGCTTCGTTTTTGGAAGAACATCTGGCATAACTGCTCGTGCATGGCGTGTGTCCAGGTTTTGACTGGGTGTGGGATGACCACTGTAAGTCCTCTGGAGCCTTTCTGAGCTGTGACAACAGGAAGGTGAGCTTTCACTCAGACTACAGCTGCGGCACCGCTGCAATCCGTGGCAACAAGGAGCTCGCAGACGGCCAACACTACTGGGAAATCAAGATGACCTCCCCTGTCTACGGGACAGATATGGTGCGTAAGAGCAGCTAAAAGAATACTAAAGTTGTAACAAGTTGACCTGAAAATGAACATTTTTAAAATGTTTGCTTTGTTTTGCTTTTCTGGTGTAGATGGTGGGAGTTGGGACTTCAGAGGTGAACCTGGAGAAGTTCAAGTACAACTTTGGCAGTCTGCTGGGCCATGATGAAGACAGCTGGGGGCTCTCCTACACCGGTGAGTTATCAGATATATTGACTTTGATTGATAAGAAAACAGTAAATAAAACAAAAATGTTTCTCCGTGTGTTCGAAGGTCTGTTCCAGCACAAAGGGGACAAAATAAAATTCTCTTCTCGGTTCGGTCAAGGCTCGATCATCGGAGTGCACCTGGATACGTGGCACGGCACCCTCACCTTCTACAAGAACCGGCACTGCATAGGTTTGTGTTTTCCTGCGTTTTAAGGATAAGGAGAAGCTTTATTTGTTGGTTACAGTTTCCTGCAGCTGAAGTGACAGACCTACTCGACCACACATACAGTACATACAATATACAAATACTGGGGAGACAGGTCAGGCTAGGCAGCAAAAAAAGGGATAGACAGTGAGATGTGTAACATATAGGGGCAATTCAGGAGAAAAAAATGGTTTCTCCTCATGATGACTTCCAACAAGTGAGTCATCATGAGGAGAAAACAAAAAACTCCATAGCACATAAAGAAGCACAGATATCATCACACTGTAACACCATGAAACACAGATAAGCAACATAAGTGGGGAGGGTGGGTACACCGATGTACACAGTGGTCATGGTCACTGCGATTACTCGCGCCTCCAGCTGAGCCGCTGGTGGCCTTGAGGAATAGGGCAGAGAGTCAGGTCGTTCTCGTTATCATATCTCTTGGAAGCATGTTGTTGTTCTCCTCGGTGTCAACCTTCAAGTAGCTGGCGCCATCAGGGGGTGGGGGTATAGCCGCATTAGAGATGTAGGTAACTGGTTTAGGGCAAACGGACTGCATCCATTTTTCAGTTAGTTACGTTTGTCTGCATATTCTAATAATCCCAATGGGCTCTGCCTCTCCTGCCAACAGGTGTGGCTGCAACAAGGTTACACAACAAGAAGTTGTACCCCATGGTGTGCTCCACAGCAGCCAAGAGCAGCATGAAGGTGATGCAGGCCTGCTATACACCCACCTCCCTGCAGTACCTTTGCTGTGCAAGGCTGCGCCAAATGTTGCCGTGTTGCCCAGACCTGTTTAATGCCCTGGATCTGCCACCCGGCCTGCGTGTCCTCCTCCACATACAGCTGGGCTGGGTCTTCAGCCTCAGCAGCAGCCCCGAACCCTCAGAGGAGCACGAGGATTTCGGCAAGATGAGCCTGCCTTCGAGCCCCTGCCCCAACCTGAGCCCGAGCCCGGTGTCCAGTGCCTGTGTCTCCCCCAGCCCCTGCACCAGTCCGATTCCCAACACGGACCCTTACCCGTCACCTCAAACTCAGTCCAGTGCTTGCTGCTGTCCCCCAACTCCTCCCAGCAGCGACTACGAGAGCTGCTGCTCCGAGCCGGAAGATTATCAGTGCAAAAGGTGCCGTTGGACTTGACCACGTGGTCCAGCGGAGGAGATGCTTGACAAAAAAGAAAGAAAGAAAGAAAATTGGCACACAGCTTTTCTACCGTTGCCACAAATTTCTCCTTTTGTTGATCACAGAGAGATATTTTAGCCAACATTTGAGTGGATCGTTGCTTATTTGTTTGCTATGTAACAAGTATTTGTCTTCCACATAATGTTGAAATGAACAAGAACAAAGAGTGTGTGTGTGAGAGAGTGTGTGTGTGTGTGTGCGAGTGAGAGATGATGCCTGCTGCCATTTAAAGAGGTTAGACTCAGAGAGAGAAGAGGCAAACAAAAGGTAAACTCCTAGAAAGCCGTAGACTCTGGAAGGAACAGAGGTGCTTTTTGATACTGTGAAATTGACTTTTTGTAAACGTGTTTTGTAATCGCCATTTTGGTTAAATGTCAAAGGTAGCTCTGCACTGCACTCTGCAGTTTTTTTTGTTTCATTTTCTATTTCCAGTTTTTGCTACTTTTCTTTATGGATTTTCTTACTCAGGTTCATTCTTTAAAATAAAACCAAAAACCTAGAAAGTGCCTGCTTCAGCTTATTTATTCTAGAAAGATTCATACATATACATACAATTTATGCAGCTTATATATCTCCTATTTATATACAAAAAGCTGTGCTGAAAAACAGTTATCACATTATTCCCGGTACTCCAGATTATATTCTGGTAATCTATACATTTGATCTGCAGGAGTTAAGATGAGAAGAAAAAGTGCTTTTCCTGGAAAGTAAATCTCAAATCCAAGGCATATTTTTTACTTGTAAACATCAACATTAACATATTAGCAGCCAAGCAGAGACAGAGCATTATCAGAAACCAGTTTCGTCCTCGCTGATGTCTCCCGGTCTTCTTGCTCTCAGATTAGTCCAGGACCAGCTGGGGGTTGTGGGCTGTGAGGCAGCGATAGACTCGGGCTGATATCTCCGGTCCCACGCGTCTCTCTTTGCCTCCGCTTTTCGCCGAGAGGCCCGCGAGCAGCCCTTTTCTGTCCTCCTCTGACCCCGAGCTGTTGTAAGCCTAAAATGAACAGAACATATTACAGAAGAAAAGTTTTTCTTCACGCAAACCTTATCAGAGCACAGCGTCTCCTCACCTGTAGCAGCAGCTGGGGAGATGGATAGGACGCGGTCACAGCAGAGGCCACGGCAGGGCTGACTCTGTTCAGCTGCTGGATCTGCCTGCTCCAGACCTGAATCAGGCCGGAGCCATCCTTCTCTACCCGGACCCCACTGGCCCATGAGCCATCCACGCAAAAGGGCAGTTCTGCTCCCTCTGTCAGGAGTCTGCAAGAGCACAAAGTGGAGGTTTCATTAATTCACAGTCAGCCGCTATACTGTCTATGTCAGGGCACAGAACTGTGGCATACTTGAAAGGGCGTTTGGACAAAGCTTTGGTGACAGCACAAACATGATCAGTGACCTCCTGCCAGCTATCCAGGAAAACCACGGAGATATTTTTGTAGAGCTGTAGATACACGAGAACCTGGAGATTAAAGCGTTTCGAAAAGAGAGAGAGAGAGAAAGCTATTTGTTATCCATCAAGCTTTTTTGAAGATGTATACAGGTTCAAGATTCAAAGTGTTTATTGTCATGTGTACAGAAGAAATAGCATCTCTCTGTGCAATGAAATTCTTCCTTTGCTGTCCATACACAAATGCCAAGTTAGATAGGGTTGAAGGAACAAGACCAATAAGGATAAAAATAAGTAAGTGGAGACAAGTGAGGTACGCAGATGTTGATGTAAATGGATGTACAAAGGAGCTTAATGTACAAAATGAACTTAGTGTGCAAAGTGTCCTGATGTGCAAATTGCAGTTGACGTAGGTCAGCTGTGTGAGTTGTGTGTGCATATGATAAAATCAGGAAGAAAGAATCGCAAATCCTTGAAAGAAAGACAGAGATTCAAAGTAAACTGACCTCCTCAATGTCCAGATGATCCATCCCCAATTTGTATTGTAGAGGCACACTGTGGGTGTTTGACCTGTTGGTAAACAATAGATCAGGTCATAGTTTCCGCACTTTACTTATAATCAGAAAGTGGAGAAGTGAAGGAGCCACTGGGTAACAGAGGAAGTTAAGTATTCCCAGTTAAGCTGACCTGTAATCTGGCTCAGAGTCTGTCACTAACAGAGTGACCACCTTCTTGCCATCACGGTTGAGAAACTCCAAAATTGGACTCCAGAAAGACCCCACCCCCGTCTCCACCCCTTGGCTGTGGATAATCTGCGGAGTGGCAGAGCGCAGTGTGAGTTCGAGGAGCCACAGCTCCTTCATACAGTCAATGACACCATTACAACAGCTCAAAGGACTGCTTACTCTATTCACAGAGATCACTACATCCATGAAATCAGCCAGACTCAGGACCAGAAGCACCTGCTCTTCCTCCTCCACCACTGAGACCATGCCACCTTCTCCCTGCTAAAGCCAAAACAGTAATCCCTCACGGGAATCAACAAAAATGCAGCAAATTGCTAAATCTAGATTGAGTGAGCTGCCTACCTGAGGTAAATCTTGGGTCCAGGCGATGCTGCCAACGAGCTGCTCGCTCTCGATGCTGAACTTCCAGTCAAGGGAAACCAGAATGTCCAGCAGGACGTCTGAGCCATCCTGCTGCAGAAGAACTGAAGAAAGACACAAAACAACACAGCAATTTGTGCGTTTTTGTGCATTATGAAGCCATCCCCGCAGAAGTTATAGTCAAGGAAAATGACATTTTTAAGGTGGTGCCTTTTAGGCTGGAAACAACAGCCAATACTTAAACAGTACTTAGGTAATGGTTCATAAAGATTTAGACAGGCCCTTGCAAGGAGCATTGAGTCACTGATGTGGAACGTAGACCAGGATGGAAATGCGAGACTGCAGTTTGATTTTGCTGCACTTTTTTCCCCTTAAATTCAAACTGGACATCTTGTTATTGGTAATGACTGTGGAGTGGGGGCGTGAACGCTTTTGAGCTTATGCAGGGTGTTGAAGAAGTAAAGATGCCGTGGAAAACTGTATCGTAAACTAGAAATACAGAAAATACTCTTTAAGAGACAGGGATGGGATCATATGGCACAAATACAGTCAACACAAAAGAGATCATACCCATGTCATTTTACATCTGCACATATTTATTTATTTTTTAAAGTTGGCCCCAAATTGTAGTTGTAAAGTTAATTTCCGGCGACACCTGAAGGCATCCCTGTGTCCGTGTGTACCTGGGTGTATGCAGACAGTGATGCATTTGAGGCAGTTTTCTGGTCGGAGACTCTTGAGGGTCTTGGCTGCCTCTCTCCTCCTCTGCTGCTCCTGTCTCCTCTCGTCCTGCTCCTGGGCTCTGGCCGCTCTCTGTTTCTCTCTCGCCTCCTTCCTCTCCTTCACTTTCAGCCTGTCCTCTTCTATTTCCTCCTTACTGCGACGTTTCCTGGCAGGACTCGGTGTACCGGACCCACCTGCTGGAGGAGCCAGAGCAGCAGACCGCCCCCTATTTGCTGCTGAATTGTGTGAACCCTGCTCCTGCTTTTCTGTGCTGGCTGTCTGGCTGCTGTCATCGCTGTCCAAACCGGGTTTTGTTTCAGCGTCGCTGTCCTCAGACTCAGAGATTTCCCACGTTTTAGCTCTCCGTAACAAAGACATCTCACATGTTAGAGACGCAGTCGAAGTCCTTATTTGTAAAACCCTGAAAAAAACTTGGGAAAATCTGAGTGGTACTGCATTGTTTGTATAAACCACGATGGTGTTCGATGAGGGACAAATCACCCAAAACGCGCGATAGTTAGTACTGATGGGATTTCCGGCTCTTTTTAGAGAACCGGTTCTTTCGGCTCGACTCACCAAAAAGAGTCGACTCTTTCGGTTCCCAGACGACTCTTCAGGTTGTTTTGTTGCTTTAATTAATTAATTATTAACAACAATATAAAATTATGCTCAAAAGGAACTACTATTGTAAAAAAAAAAAAGTGGTTTTATTTATATATGTTTATATATAAGTATATACGGTGGTCCCTAGAGACAAAGCATGTACAAACTCCAAAACACATTTCTAGCATTAACTGAACTTCCAAAACACAGCTACCTAGATCACTTAAATTACACAATTGAAAGCATATGTGTATTGTTCTTGTATTTATACACTCATATATATTCAAATAATTAAAAAAAAAATATGTTCATTTACCTGTTACTACCACACACCAAATCCGGTCGTTGGTACTTCCTGGCTTGTGTAGCCACTAGGTAACAAAAGGTCAACACTGCGCCCTAGCATCCTGGAGCACTTCTGTTGTGTTTTGTACGTGTTTTGGAGTTTTTACGTGTTTTGGTGTTTGTACATACTTCGGGGTTTGTACACGCTTCTGAATTTTTACGTATTTTGGAGTTTTGACGTGTTTTGGAGTTTTGACGTACTTCGGGGTTTGTACATGCTTTGTCTCTAGTGACCACTGTAAATATACTTTAATTTATTCACTCCACATAAAATATAATAAATAAATCATATAATACTAAAAACAACTATTTACATTTCAACTTTTAAACCTTTACATTTTCAGCTTTTTCCTTTTAAACAAATTTAAAGTGAAACAACACAAAACACTGCAAACCACAACACAATTAAATATAAATTAAAATATGAAAACAAAAAGAGCATGCACATTCTCTGTCATATGGGCCTGCATGAATAAACTTTCAGAATCCTTTATCTTCCGCAACTGAAAATAGTTGTGGATCATTACTATACCTTTCAAATGTGACGTTGTTGTCCCTGGCTCTCTTTCTCTCTCTTTCCCTCCTGCTCTGTTCCTGTGCTACTGCCTGTAATAACGGCCCTCCCCCCTCTTCCCAGCAAAGGAGGTGACCTAGCGAATAAATAAGTGGTGTACTGCAAATTTGTGTATTGAGTTGTTTAAATGTACTTACAAAAATAAATGGCCAACATCTATGGGGCGCCGTTTGTAAAGTGAAACATGCTGAAATTAACAGCAACATTTTTCCACATTTAGCTCAAAACCTTACAAAAAAATGTTTTTTTGGGTAATTTTTTTACAACATTTAGTAAAATATTTGTAACTTTTCATAAATTTGTTAAATATTAAATCTACATGTTAAATATTAAATCTAAATATTATATTTAAATCTAAATGTTAAATGTTAAATCTAAATGTTAAATTGAAATGTTAAATCGAAATGTTAAATATTAAATCTAAATATCATATTTAAATCTAAATATTAATGTTAAATCTAAATATTATATTTAAATCGAAATGTTAAATGTTAAATCTAAATGTTAAATGTTAAATTGAAATGTTAAATATTAAATCTAAATATATTTAAATCGAAATGTTAATGTTAAATCTAAATATTATATTTAAATATAAATGTTAAATGTTAAATCTAAATGTTAAATCTAAATGTTAAATGTTAAATCTAAATGTTACAGAAAACTAGATATATTTGGGCTAACATGCAAATTTATTGTACAACGGAATCAACGGAAATACCAAAATAAAAGCTTCCCGAAAACCTCCGGTGCAAAATTGTGTCTGCTCTCCCCCTCACTTCTCCCCGCCATGTGCTGCTTCACTTCTTGGCTACGAGCATGTCCAGCAAAGGACATGTGCTGCAGCGATTGTGCAGTGGAGACTGCAGCTGCTAAGAGTGCACTACTGCTGAACCTTTGGATGGCCGACAAAACGGATCTTCCGATGTTTTCAGCTAAATCGCCGGACGTGCTTTCTCATGGTCCGCGCCGGGTTATGGCTGAATTCCAGTGGAATGACGGTCCCACCATAATAGACGTTCCAGCCATGTGTTCCAACCCTAAAGCCAGGGGCGATTTTAGCCCATTTTGGGGGTGCTTAAGCAAACATTACAAAAAACATTACACCCAGGTAACCCTCAGTGTTGAAAACGTGTTTTCCGACGATGTTTGCTACCCTACTATCCATCCTGCTCTGTAGTAAAATTCAGCGACATTTGACCGTCCTGTTGCTCCCATTGAAATGTATACAGGCTATTTAAAATCTAAAACTTTAAATTGTCCGCAGCCTACTGTTGTTACCACTGTCCTGTTTGAAATGGATACTAACTAGCTAACTGACTGAATGCCCATTAACCGTATAACTCCTCTGTGTGTGTGTGTGTGTGTACAGAGAGACAGCCAGGTTCATAATGGATATAAGGAAGTTTTTTCAAAAAAAGGAGCCACATTCAGGTAAAAGTGTAAAATCAAATGATCCATCAATCAAGAATAATGTTGGATCAGTGTTTCAATGTTTATATCTTTTATTAGATGTTCATGTGGTTTGGTTATTTGCCTTTTGGTTGAAAGTACACTGAGAGAGGACTTTTTTATTAGTGATCTTATTAGAATTTTTTTCATATTAATGTAATTTTTCATCTAATTGAATACAATCTATTTGTGTATGATTGTCAGTCCGAAGAGGGAGAGAGGAAAGAGGGGAATGTGAGGAGAAAGTACAAGATCAGGAAGAACCAGGTAAGAAAACAGACAGGGAACAGTGACAGGCACAACAGAAACTGTTAAACTGACAAAGAAAAAAAAAACTAATTTTACTCACACAATCAGGAAGTTGTGTCCTCCCTATATTAAAGCTGCTATACAGAATCTGCAAAACAAACTGGTTTGAAACATTTTTGACCCTCTTTAACAACATTCCAACATAACATTATAATTGATTGGGGAGATTAAAATTAATGATATATTTTTATGTGGTTCAGCCACAACTCTACTAAAATCTCAGCCAGTAATAGGTAGGCCAACTTTTGGACTGTCCAGTTGACTGTATGACTGCCGCAGTACGCACATCACATTTGCACAGTATCAGAAAGTGCCAAACGGTGCCCTGGTGGAGTGAGGAGCTGTAAAGAGAAGAGTGCTTTGTTTATATTCTAAAAAAGTTTTAAGCTTGTTTCAAAGATTCTGTACTGCAGCTTTAAATGTTTTCCAAAAAGACACATACAATTAACTTATCAGTGTTTCTCAAACTTTTTACAGTGTGTACCACCTGATAAAAAATGTCAAGCTCTCCTAAGTACCACTATGAAAGCATGAAAGTCATAAATCTTACAACACAAAATTATTATTAAATTAGTAAAATTAGTATCTGCAATAAAGATTTTTT